ACTCTGTATGCAACAAAAGGAGGTTATGGGAGTTGGAGGATGACAAAGCTTTTCTAATACCTTCCAACCTAGCTAAGATCCTTTTTTTTTTTTTTTTTCTTTTTTTTTTTTCAAATAAAGAATTTCACAATAATTTATGCTTTTATCTATATTATTTTTAAAAATAAAAATAAATAGTAAATATATCTATGACTATAAATTAAATAGGTAAGTTTTGCTAAATTTAATATATTTTCTTTATTTTTTCAATATTTCCCGGGGAAGAAGGATCCTCGCTCAGAGCAGAAAAATTTTCTTATGAAATTTTATATGAAGAAAATACTTCCGATCCTTACCCTACAGAGTAATAATTCTCCTTAGCCTTCTCCGCTGTGGGATCCCCGCAGAACCCTACAGCTGATAGGGATTGGGAGGATATTGTCATCCATAAATAAAATGGGTGGCTTTAACAAAATAAAGGTGGTAATAAGTAATAATTCCAGCCGCTGGGAAGCTGCACCGAGCCAATCCAAATTGAGGAGAACGAAGTAACGGAGGTCAGAGGCGGCTCCGAAAAGCTGATTTATTTAAAAGTTATCGAGGCTATGTTTCGTGGAGTATTTTTAGAATTTTTATTTTTTTTAGTATTATTTATAAATTATAAATTTAAATTTTTATTAAAAAATTTAAAAATTATTTTTAAAAATAATAAAAAATTAATAAAAATAAAATTTATAAAAAAAAATTTAAAATATTTTAAAATTTATTATTTAAAATTTTTTAAAAAAATTTAAAAAATATAAATTTTTTTACAAAAAATTTACATTTATAAAATATAAATAATATTAAAAAACTAAAACATTTACCAACTCCACCGAACCTTTCTAAACTAAAATCAATTTAAAAAACATGCTCTAAAATGGAATCAATTTAAAAAGTGGACTAAGAAAAATCACTCTCCTAATTATATTCCAAATTCTGTCAATTCATCTACTTAAAAGCTGCAAAGAGCCATTTCGTGCTTAAATAATTCTTCATTCTTCATCAGTTTCGCCCCTCAACAAGAAATCTTCCGTTCTTCTGCCTCACTGGTTCGTGCTCTTTCAGCTTCCTCCTCCTTCCCTTTTCCTTCGTATTTATGCTACTTAACTTCTTTAATTTAGTTGTTGTTGTTGTTGTTGCTGCATGAATGGTAGTTGAATGATCTTGAGGTTAAAAAATTTTACTTCGTTTTGACTATCCGTTTCTGGGTTTTCTAACTTCAATTTCATCTGGTGTTGTTGATTTCTTAACTTCTCTGCTATTTGGTGGTTTTAGCTTCGTTTTCTATTGGTTTGGTGGTATTGATTGCTGTTTTTTATGGTAATTTTGTTGATTTCTTGCTCCATCTATGGAATATATGATAAATCCACCTGTCATATATTTCCATAGATGGAGTTCATTCAAAAATTTCTTGGGTCAAAATTTGATTGTTGTTGCATGAGTAATTGAGTATGATAAACCGGCTCTAAAAGGCAAAACTTCTTCTAGCTTCTAGAACTGGGTTATGTCACAAATATTTTCATGTGATTTTTCAGTAGTTTCTCTGAAATTAGGGTAAACAAAATAAATACATGAATAGAACTCCCAAGCTTTCTGTTAATATTTCAGCATCTCAAGTTGTAATGAGGAATTTGTAAGTAAATAAAAGTTGGTTAAAAGAAGATCATAAAGAGGGCTTAATTACTTATTAGGATTTAAGATGTTGAGACATCAACAAATAGCTTGGTAGTTTTATCTATTCATTTTTCTAAGAGGAAAAAGAGCCCATTTCTACATTTGGGGCTTTTACTATTACTAGTCTATCTCTGATATTCCCATTTGATTGGTGCATTTATGCCACAAGCTCCTAACTGAGTTTGGTACCAGAAAACTGTATTCTCTGGTCGGCCAGCCATAAACCTGAATCAAATGATGAGTTCTTAGTAGTTTAATTGAATCAACCTGGAATGGTACATCGGCCAACAAGCATGAAACTATATACTTTGTCTTCATGCAACCCAATCATTGTAGATTTCAAAGAAACACAGATTATATGTAGAAAATTTAAAGTTATGATAGTTACTGCACTTAGTTGTTAAAGTGTTTATATTCTCCTGTCCAAAACAGATGTGACATATACATATAATGATTACGTGACTTAACTGATTGGGTATGGTAATGTTATTATTTTCTTAGTGGGAATGGTTTTTTGGAGAATGCAGCTGCATTCATGCAAGCAGCTCCTCAGTTTATTCTCTGACAATAAATTCTGTATTTTATCGAAACAAAGGAACAATGCCAGAGAAAATAACAGCTGAAAGCATTTTAAGCAACATTGTGGAGACCCTTGCTGAGAGTGTTCCAAAGCAGAAGTCTGTGTCATTTATTGAGGAAGAGAAGACAGACTCTGTAAAATCACGTTTCAATCGGCTGTTTGGACGCCAGAATCCTATCCACCATCTCTTGGGTGGCGGAAAATGTAGTACCATTGTGTTTTACTTCTTACAATGCTTGCCAATCGTCTCCTACTAAATATAATTGCTGCAACTACAGCTGCTGATGTTTTGTTATGGAGGAACAAGAAGATCTCAGCTAGTGTTTTAACTGCTGCAACTGCAATCTGGATTCTTTTTGAATGGCTCAACTACCATTTTCTGACTCTTCTGAGCCTTGCTTTGGTTCTTGGTATGCTTGCACAGTTTATTTGGTCAAATGCTTCAGGCTTAATGAACAGGTAAGCAGAAGATGTATGCATCTCTGATGCTTCTTTTTGTCTTGCGAGGGACTTTTGTGTGATTCTGCTTTGGATGGGATTTCCATTTTGTTGTGACAATTTTGTGTGTTGAAGCAGGTCACCATCTAAGGTTCCACGACTTGTTTTGCCAAATGACTTATTTGTCAATGTTGGAAGATCATTGGGTGCTGAGATTAACCGAGCTTTGCAGTTTCTTCAGGATGTTGCATGTCGTGGAAGTCTGAAACAATTTCTTGTGGTATGTTCAGATTTGTTATTTCCTAATGTTCTGTACTGTACTGTACTGCACTGCACATGCTTGCCAAGAAAATGGTCCAAAATAATCCTTCAACCTACCTATAGTTCTTGCATATATTTTTTATATGTTCAGAAAACTTAACAAAGTACTTCCTAATGGGAGTGTGTAACAAGAATAATTGTGTATTTTAATGAAGGTTCATTTTGAATTTATAATTAATAGATAATGTTTGTGATGAAAAACCTTTCTAGCAGGTTTTGTAAAACCCTTCTCCCCACACCCCGGGAGGAAATTAGGTAAAATGAGAATTTCATTCATTTATATTTTTTATTTTTGTCTAACATTTGTCTGTCAGTCAATAAAAAGTGTCCTTATATTTGAACACAAATAAGCACTGGTTGAAGAAGCTGTTTTTACTGCTCCTTACAAATTTTGTCCATTTCTAATATTAAAAATGTAGAGCCCTTTTAGTCCTTTGGTCCTTTGTATGCCATAAAATGAATAATATGATCTCTTTCCCTCAATAACATGATTCGCCTTTCATGATGTTTCTATATTGAAGAAAGAAATATGACCATCTCTTTTTCTCTTCTATTCCTGTTGAAATGCAAACACATGCCAAGTAGAATATAAATTGTCTAATAATTTTTTAGAAAGGCAGCTCCTAGATAGAGTTTACCAACTGATACTCCACTAAAATAATTGTTTACGTCTCGTTGGCATTCTGTTGTTTTGGCTGTACTTGCAATATCCCTTGCTATTTGGGATGAGTGTATTTTATTAGATCTGTATTGTAGTAACTTTCAGATGATGATTTAGAGAAGATGAATGATTCTTAGAATCTTTGCAGGTCGTGCTATGCTTGTGGGCTGCTGCTGTTATAGGTAGCTGGTGCAACTTTCTGACTGTCTTTTACATTGGTAAGAGTTGCTTTCTCAAGTTGCATGGGGCAGAGCTATGTTTCTTGGTGGAGAGTATAACAGATAACTTTTTGATCTATAGTAAAAAGGAAAACTGAGAATGTTTGAAACCACCCAGTTTGAAGCCCACCACTAGCCTAACAACCATTCGGGCTAAGGTACACGAGCCCTCAAAAACTTAAGTTCAAGTTATTAGTAGTAGTTTACACACTTATATATCAGATTTACTCACATTTTTTCACCTTTAGGGCATTACAATTCCCCCATTTAAAGGCCAATCAGAATGATACCAATTGAAATGACCTAGGACTAATCTCAAGTTATTAATAGTAGTCTTTGCACTTATGTATTAAACTCACTCGCATTTCCACACCAATATGAGATTTGGGGTGTTGCAATGTGGCATGCAATTTGGTTGGCTACTAATATCAAGTTTTTTTCTTTTATTAGGCTAGGGTGGGGGGAGGGGGTGTGCAGAGGATGCTTATTAGCTATCCATTATGACTAAAACTAAAAGGGTCATCGTCTATTTTATAGTCTGACATATCCTTTGGCATGTTGCTCAAGTGGATACTTCACCTGTGCTCTTGCTTGTTAGCCCAAAGTTTTTAAAATGCACATATGATGATGGTCCCTATCTATCGTTTATTGTGAATGTTAAATGTTTTTATCCCACATTCATTAGGTTTGGATTTTATCATTGAGAAAGTTATTTTTGAATGACAAATAGACAATAGAGGCAAAAGTTCCTAAATATTTATAATCATAATATAAAATACTAATAAAGATAAGACTTCCTTCCTTATCTGCAGTTATGAATCATAATCATATTCAATTTAGGCCTCTCCACACCAAGAGAACATAAGACTCATCTACAGGTTTAACAGACCAACTCTAGCCTCTAATCTCCTAAGCATCTGGAGAGGAACACTTCACTATTTCTATTGATACTTTTTTTCATGATTATGGGTGCGTTTGGGACTGCAATTGGGAGCTTTTTCATGTAGTCACACAGTACTTTCAGACGTATGTGTTTGGTAATTTTTTTTCAAACTGTTTTTTTTTTAAAGTTGTAAAAAGTTACAGTAGATTTACAGTAATTTTATATATAAAGCAAAAAAATTTAATATTTACTATAATTACAAAATTACCCATTCAAATTCAATTTCATATAATTTAATTACATCATAATTTATAATATTTTAATAATGA